AATATTATCGTTATTATTATTATTATTATTATAACTATTATTATTATTATAACTATCATTATTATTATTATTATTATTACTACTATTATTATCATTATTTTTCTTTTTGTTCACAAATTATTGACCATTTACCTGCTCGTATGTAACAGAGCGTTAGTACACAACAATTATCATTAGCATCACAATCATTTTCATTTTGATTATTATTATTATTATTATTATTATTATTATTATTATTATTTTTATTATTATTATTATTATTATTATTATTGTCATTATCATCATTGTCGTCATCAATTGTAAAGCAGTTATGCAGGAGACATGCACGCATAGCAGTTATGCATAGCGAAGTAGACATATAAGAACAGCTAAACTCGAATATATTGTTCAACACATGTTACCGTTCTTTAGCCTCGCCTATTGCTGTACACACAATTTTATCTTATGGCAGACATACAGCAAAAGTTGAAGTCAAAATTAATGAATTTTTTTGATTTGTTTCATACATTTATTCATAATTTTATATAATTTTTCACTTGCTAAGGGGAGCAATTTACATAATATTCATGTCGTATGCAAAAATCATAAATAATGTAGTTGAAGAGATATTTTATTAAAGATCTATGTTATAATGTATTTTGTTTATATTTCAGTACACATTGTTCATGTTAATTTGTTGGTGGATCTACATTATATACCATACATTTGTGCATTATTTGACACATTGTAGATATTAGTGACTTAATTAAAAATGCAAATGATGATTATGACTACCAGTAAAATACGGGAAGAGTCAAAGATAATGAATAATTGTGAAAAATAGATGATAATGGTACGCGCACAGATAATTAGATGCGACGAGCTCACATATACGCGACTATTAAATAATTAATATAGAAATGTTAGATATACTTGATTAAACTAATATAATGTTATCTAAAGAATGCATTTTTATATCATAGGTTGACAAATTTATGTAATTGACAGCATCGAATATTTTTAAATCGATTCTTCTAAACATGCTATTCTCATAAGAATAAAACAATTATAATGAACACATAATTGATGTACTTCATGAAAGTACAAATTGATATCAATAGTAATTAATAATATTTGGAGTCTAATGAGATTAATTACACAACGCGATGTTTTGTTTCCCTAAAAAATTCTATCTTTCAAAGAATTATATTTATAAATATTCGTATGGTGTGTGTGTGTGTGAGGAAGGTTTTAAAAATATTCGAAGACTGGCAGATGTAGTGAAATGTCTGAGGCCTTATCATATCTCATATTGAGTAACGGATATGGAACAATAAAAATGATTGGAGAGAAATGTGACAGTTGTAAAAAGAAAAGAAAAAGAAAAAGAAAAAAAAACTAGATTGCAATGATATACTGTGATCTTTATAACATTTTAACACAAAGGGAACTCCATATCGTTATAAAAGGAAGCTTTTCCATGCTTTCAGAAAATTTATTACATATAAATCGTACTCTCTAACTACCCTCCTCCTTTTTGCAAAAATAGTTGAAAAGATCACATTTATAATATAATATTAAATTAAATTGGAGGAATGTCAAAAAGAGATGAAAGTGCACGGTGACAAAGTTTACAAATGAAATTTAATAATGAAAGATCACTTTTTTTTAGATCAGGGTTATACCCTGTTTTATTTGTACATATTGTATTATGATTAAAAAGTTATATATTATATGATAGTGGAAAAATATTAATTATTAATATAATTATATATTTAACAAGTAAGAATGTAATGATAGTATTTTTTTTGTCCAAACAAAAATATCAATTTTTAGACAAATATTTGGCTACAGAACGGAGAATAATGTATTTTTAATTAGTTAAACTTTATGGATTAGGAGACTTTCTTCTTATTCATATGAAAATATAATTAAACGCACCTCTATATATATCTTTTCAGTAATTTGTATAACACATCCTTGAACCTCTACTCTAAATAGTTTAAAATATATTCTATATATCTTATTTATAACATTAGTATAGCATTTTTTGATTTCATCATACAGGGTATGAAGCAGAGTATAAGAAACGTAACTCGATAAAAGAAAGATCTATTTAAAAATTCATTTTTCTTTTTCCAACGTCAATTGAATCTGTGTATACAAATTTCTGTTGCATATTTATACAAGCAATTAGCGTACTAAATTTAATACAAATCATTGACTTTATTAACATAATTTTTTTCTTAACAACAAATATATAAATTATATAATACAAAATAGATTAATTCAAAAGAAAACAATGTCTGTTAGAAACAATGTTTGTTATAATAATTGCAACTAATTGGTAGGAATTTTTTCTAAATGCCTTATAGCATCTTTAATTTTACCAAGTAACTCCTGCAATTGTTGCAATGTACATGTAAATGTGACATATTTTATTTCTGCATATTTCTTAGTGGTGAAACGTACATGGTACTGAAAGGACCTAATAGAACTTTGAAATCCATACTGTAAATGAAAAAAATATATTCAGACTTATTATATTTACTATTCATATCTCAAGTATGTTTATTAACTCATAAACGTTGAATAAATAAAATTTGAAACGATAATATACTTTGATACAGTGACTTAAACGCCAGTCGGTGTCTACTATATGGCCTAAATTATTTCCAATCAATTGTAACTGCATTTGAATCTCTTGTTTATTGTTAGCATAGCTATGGCATAGTTTGTCTACTCTATGATCAACGATTAATGAGGTATTTAAAAGCTTTTTTAAACTTTCTTTATCGAAATCATGTCTAGCAGCTTCAACTAAAAGACAACTTAAGTCGACAAATGCATTCTTAGCAATGTCACATTTGGTACCGTTGCTTTTGACGTTGTGCTGATCTATGGTGTTAACATAAATTTACATAGTGTAATGGAAGTTTATTGTTAAGTGCTTGTTTCACTTTCAATATTATTTTTCTATGTTTTACCTTTCGGGTCTACAGGGGTTTTACATAAATACAAAATTACAGCTTCTAACATTTGCACGAAAATATCTTCGGGTAATATATTTAAATTTGTAATATTTTTAATAGCCATTACTTTTTCCGACAATTCCATTTTAAACTTAAAAATGACAACAAACTAGGTTATAAGAGGAATATTTATACTATTTTATTAGTTAAATTACAGTGCACATCCCCCGAAATGCATCGTAACCTGGTCGGAGGAGCTTCCTACCAAATATCACTAGAGCGCGCATAAAATAAACAGTAGTTTAAGGTGCAGTTTAATATGCAACTATGATAGCAAAAAAAGTTGGCATAGAACCGCAACAGCAGTAAAAAATGAATAAATGTTATTAATTGCTTACTAAATGCTCAATCAAAATCCATATAATTGCTCACTTTATATATTAATTAATTATTTAATTAGTTATTAATAATTGAAAAATCGAAAACGTATTTTTTCATTTCTAAACAAAGCACTGAAGTTTTGTATTGTTTTTTGTTTTCAACATCACTTTTGTTACCACCGGGACCACCAGTCGGTGATAGTAAATATTTACCGCGATGACAGTACAATACTATTACAGAATACTGTATTTGATAGTACATGATATATTCTATCATAGAATATGATAGTACAATCCTATTCTGATAAAATTTTAAATAAATATATTTAATTTTTAGTGTATAGAAATGTGTGTGTGCCTTCAGAAATGCATTTATATTTATATTTTAAAATAAAGCAATTTAAGACACTAAAATAAAAAAGAATCCAGAAGTTTTGATGATAAGTCCAACGATGATCACCTGTAACAAGAAGAAAACCATATTAATCATACAATCAAATGATAAAATAGCCTGACATATAAATCGTCCAATTCGCAGATGCACTTTTCAATTGAATTCTCTATTTATTTTGATCAAATCTCTATTAATCATTGCAAAAAAATTAAATTTACACGCGTGATTTTAAAGTTACACAAAATATATATAAAAAGAGAGAAAAGTACAAATATTAAATTAC